GAAAATATTTAGTAGAAAGATTTCCCTTTTCAGAGTACAATATAAATGGTACAAGGTGAAGACGAAATAATGTAAAAGATTTTAAAGGGTGATTTTTCAAATTCAAGACAAAAATTGTATATGGTTGTATGTCTAAACGGGTTAGTTTCAAAGATAAGAGCGTCAAAGTTGAAGGAAAAATTTTACTTTTTTCCAAAAATTACAATAACCACTTGGATTATTTTAATGGAGCTTTATCTATGTTTCAAGTTCTATCCAAATAATCCGACTAATTTTCGAAATTTTTGAAAAAAAGCAAAATTTTCCCTTCAACTTTGACACTCTGTATCTTTGAAACTAAGCTGTTTCGGACATATGTTTCGGCTTCATATAAAGTTTTCGTTTTGAATTTGTACGTGTGAATTATTTCAAAATATTTTACATATTATTATCTCTACATATATGGATACTAATAACATATAGATTGCAAAAATAAATTCAATTTTCTTATTTTTACGATATTACAAAAAAAACTTCTAGCGTTAATAAGTGATAAAATTTAATTTAAATAAAAGTAAATTTGAATTTTTTATTTTATTTTATGGACAACACTTTTTATAGACGTAATCATTTTTTATCTCAGATTATCTATGTTGCAAGAAATCCAAGAGACGTGGTGGTTTCGTGGTATCATTTCCAAAAATCAAATACTGCACATCTCGGTTTTCAGGGAACTTTCGAACAATTCTGCAATAATTTCATGAATAATCACAGTAAGTTGTGCAAAATGTGGATTGGTCTTTATTATATTCATATTTTCTTTGTTAGCGTTTCAAGAGTCTAATTTTCCACAATTTCAGCGTGGTATAGTCCATATTGGGAACATGTAAAGGAAGCTTGGGCGATGAAACACAAAAAAAACATGATGTTTCTTTTTTACGAAGATCTAATAAAGGTGAAAGAAAGAAATTTTATTTTATTCAGTTGTACAGTTTTGTTTAAAAAATATAAAAGTACTTTCTTAAATTATAACATATATCAATTTGTCTTTAGTACAAAACAAGAATAAATAAATGTTTACTTTCATTTTTAATAATTTTTGAAGTTTCGAATTACATTAATATGAATACACGGTTTACTTCATTTTTTAAATATGTTGTAATTATATTGTTTTTTTAAAGAAGACATTTTTTCAACAAAATTAACGATATACACATGTACAAACACATTGCTTATTTACATTATCACTTTCTGTTCATCATTTACAAAAAAAATTAATATACCATATAATAAAAATATAGAATATTTAGCGACATTAATTAAGTAGGATATTAGGATTTAATTAACATTTTCATTTCTATTTTTTTTTAGGATTTACCTGGCAACATAAGAAAAATCGCTGCATTCTTCGAGAAGTCTTACAGCGATGAACAGATCGCCACGTTAGTGGAGCATTTGAAAATAGAAAATTTTCGCAAAAATCCTATGGTAAGTCAGCCGGCTTCCACCAACGTGATACGACCGGAAATGTTTATACGACAAGGAATGATAGGTCGTTGGAAAGAAATGTTCACACCGGAGATTGAAGAGAGATTTAACAAGTGGATCACTGATAATTTAAAAGATACGGATTTGACATTTCCAAGTTAGATTCGTTATACGAAAACTATATAAACAATTGTTATATAAACAATTGTAATTTATAAAAGATTAAGATTTAGTTTGTTCAAATTAGAGATTTGTTACACAATATATAAGCAATTATTGTAATTTGTATTCGATAATTTCTATTTAATTTAAAGAAAGATTACCAATAAATGATTTCTAAGAAAGGAATTATAAAGCTGGTTTTGACTTTCTTGATTGATCGAAAGAGTCGATTGCTTTAGGTGAGTTTGTCGTTTTGAGCTAGTATTGACATTTTAAATTTAGCTGCCTTAGAATCTTTTTGATATTATTTCTGTCATATATTCTTTTTCAAAGCAACTTTTTGCTTAATGTCACGAAACATTGCAAAAAATTTTAAAAGAAGAATTTTCTCTAAAGAAACATTTATACATATATTAATGATGAAATGCGCAATGATATATAATAGAGAATTATACTCTTTTATTTATTTTCACATAAATATTTATGATATTTATATTTATTGTTTACATGATTAAATTAATAAAATCGTTCGCTTACATCAGACAGAAATATGTTATGTGCGGTTTTGATTACAGCCAAAACCAAATTGATTCCGGTCTGCAAAAGAAGTCTAAAGTAGACTTCAGATTTATACTGAATGCCAACTTATAGATGATTATCAAGCGACAAATGTTTCCACTGTAATATCATCAGTCAGCCAAGTCACTTTTAAGTTGTTTTAGTCATCTTTATGGCGACTACACTGCAAATCCAAATGTATAATAAATACACGCTTATATGTGTCAGACTAGAATAAGTATGTAAAATCGCATAGAAATTGATATCAGAAGCACCAAGTTTCTGCTACAACCATATTGGCCTTCTCTCAATTTAATTTGTATTATA